GCAAAGAACCCACAGCTGTCTGAAGAGCAGAAGGAGCAAGGCCACATCTTACAGGGACTCAGATGGCAGTGGCCTGGGCAGGCTACTGTCCTGGGCTTGGGCCAGAGCTGACAGCACGGGCACTCATTTGCATGACTTTTGCAGATACTTTGCATATCAGGGCCCGGATGCTGCTGTCTTAGGATCAGAGAGGTTAAGCCTAGTATTTGGTCACACAGGGCCTGAGGGACAGAACCAAAACCAAGGTGGGGGGTGGGGGGGGACCTGTCACAGGAGGAGCCTGGCACCGAAGGAATGCCCCCATTAGTGTCAAGTCGATTCCGACTCACAGCGACCCTATAGGACATCGTAGAACTGCCCCACAGTGTTTCCAAGGCTGTAATCTTTTCAGAGCCCTGGTGGCGCAGTGGTTAAGAGCCTGGCTACTGACCAAAAGTCAGCAGTTCAAATCCACCAGCTCCTGTCCTATAGGGTTGCTATGAGTTGGAACCGACTTGACGGCAATGGGTTTGGTTCAGGTTTAATCTTTACCGAAGCAGAGTGTCACATCTTTCTCCCACAGATGGATTCGAACCACGGACCTTTCAGTTAGCAGCTGAGTGCTTAGCCACTGCGCCACCAGGGCTACTTGCGGGAATGCCAGTCCTGATATTTCACTTGCAAATCCTAGCAGGGGTGTGGGATGGGGGCAGGAAACTCTTACTGTTCCTTAGAGCAAGAAAGTTATACAAACGGATGTATTTGCATGGCAACCCTGACCTTGAAAATGACACCACACACAGGTGCCACGCCTCTCAGGAGGTCACTCCCCCTGGCCCACAGGAAATCATACAGGCTTGACAGTGAAAAGACTTCCTGGCCACGGGCTTTGGGTGGCAAATTACCTTCAGAGCAATAACCATTCCTCCAGAAGGTGGATGTGAATTTCAAGGTAATCCCGGGTTTGGACGGTGTGTTAAAAATAAGAAGTGTGAAGACCTAGTGTTATGGATTGAATGGTGTCCCCCAAAAATACACGTTGTAGAACCTAACCCCTGTACTGCTTATAATCCCACGTGGGAATGGGTTTTCCTTGTTATGCTAATGAGACAGTATTAGTTTAGGGTGTGTCTTGAGTCCATCTCTTTTGAGATATAAAAGAGATTCAACAAGCCAGCCAGTGAGGAGAGACGGGGGAAGGGAGATGCCAACACATGGAGACCTCCCTCCAAGGAGCCAGGAACAGAAGCGGGAAAGACAAGGACCTTCCTCCAGAGCCGGCAGAGAGAGAAAGCCTTCCCCTAGAGTCAGTGCCCCCAAACTGTGAGAAAATAAGTTTGTTAAAGCCGCCCAACTGTAGCATTTCTGTTACAGCAGCACTAAACAACTATGACACTAGGTACATTGAAATTTATATTTGTAGCAGGGAGGCTCCCAAAGGCTTTACCTTAATACACTGATGTGAGGTGTAAGGACCATAAGCAGGCTTTTCAGTGACAGAGAGGAGAGGAGCAAGGAAGCCCTTGACAACCCTTCATCCCCGTTTTCCAGGAGGCCCCCAATCTCATGTAATGTTATCCTTTTCCATAATAATTCATAAAATGTGTATCTAAAATGATTTAAAGGATCCCTGGTGGCGCAATGGTTAAGCACTCAGCTGCTAACCAAAATGTTGGCAGTTTGAACCCACCAGCTGCTCCTCAGGAGAAAAGACTCGGCAATCTGCTCCTATAAAGATTACAGCCTGGGAAACCCTATGGGACAGTTTTACTCTGTCCTATAGGATCGCTGTGAGTCGGAATCGACTAGACAACACACAATAACAAAATGATTTAAGTTGTATACCTTTGTAAAGTTGTAAAAAGGCCCCTGGGTGGTACAAATGGTTTGCGCTCCACTACTAACCTAAAGGTTGATGGTTCGAACCCACCCAGTGGTACTACAAGAGATAGGTCTGGTGATCTGCTTCTGTAAGATTATACCCAAGAAAACCAAACCCTACAGAGCAATTTTACTTTGTAATACGTGGGGTCACCATGAGTCGGAATTGAATCCATGGCAACAGGTTTTAAGGTTAAAAAAAATAAATGAATTCAAAAATATTTGGGGAAATCCCCGATCGGACTACAGGCCCAAATTTTGGTTTTGGGGAAGCACACACACATCGCGAACAAGGGGAATCCAGGCTGGATGGTCTGGAAGAAGATGGACAGAAACCACCAAGTGCACCCCTTGAGGGGAGTTAATCAGATTTCCGTGGGCAGAGACCATGGACGGATGAACCAGACAGCTGTCTGCACCGGAAGGCAGAGGTGGTGAACCTGGAGTCAAAGAAGGCAGGCCGGAGGTCTGAGGCAAAATCCCCACCGTGCTGTCCCCTCATTTTCTGCCATCAAGTTTGTGCTTCAAGTGCCAGCTGAAGGGGTCCCTCGGGAAGCTCTCCAGGTTCTGACAGAGTAACCCCACCCCCTCCACGGCAACTGCCTGTCGTCTACTTTCTGAAAGCATTGGTTCACTCTGCCTTCCACTACAGTGATGTCTTATCTCCTGCTCTAGACTGAGCACCGCGAGGGCTACACCCACTTCTTACTCATCTTTATACCCCCCAAAGTCTTCAGCATTGAGCGTTACACATCAAGAATGATGAGCCGAATCAAATGTGGGCCCAGAAGTCAAAGCCCAGACCCTGCTTGAAGGGAGGCTTGCAGCTCGGGAGTGGTCGTCCTGGCACCCTGCGTAGTGCCTCAGCCTTTTCAAAGCCTTGGCTTGGCCTCATTTCATCCTCACGGGCCTGGTGGGGGGCGGGGGAGGTAACCAGTTGCCGTTAGTCAGCTCTGACTCACGGCGACCCCACGTGTGTCAGAGCCAAACTGTGCTCCATGGGGTTTTCAATGGCTGATTTTTTTTTTTCCTGGAAGATCACCAGGCCTTTATTTCAAGGCACCTCTGGGTGGACTCAAACCTCCAACCTTTTGGTTAGCAGCCGAGCACATTAACCGTTTTCACCACTGAGGGACTCCCTTCCAAGTAGAGCTCATTCAAAAATACACATGGGGTGGGGTGAGGGAGGGATACAGACTGGTTTTCCCTCTACCATTTCTATGGAACGGGGGTGATATTCCTACACTCTGTGGTGGTTGTGAGGAATTCGATGAGATGGTAGATCTAGATGCTTTGCAAAATGCCGGTTGCCAGGTGGCCTCTCCCACTAGCAGTCCCATGCCCCAGGGGACTGAGCTGCAGGAGGGCACAGGGAGCCCCAGGCTCGGGGCAGGTTTGGTGCCCCAGGCTGGGTCCCTGCTCCCACCCAGTGCCTTGGGGCCAGGGGGCAGCGGGGTTAGTAAACAGTAACAGTAAATTTGGGGTTTTCCTTTCACTGGGTTGGAGACAGGAAATGCAGAGGCTGTGAACGAGTGGGCCTGCTCAGGGTGCGAAGGAAATTCAGTTATTAAAGGCAGGAGAGTTAGGTTGGCAGGCTGGGGAAAGTGGCTGCCCCACCCACCTGTAAATGTAAACAAACCCTGCCTGTGAGCACACCCACAGCAAAAGGGACTCTCCAAGTGTGATTATGGTATGGACCTCGTGATGGGGAAATTACCCTGGATTATCCAGGTGGGCCCAATCTAATCACGTGAGCCCTTAAAAGTGGAAACTCCTTCCTGCCTGGGTCAGGGGGATGTGACACGGTGACAGCGAGGAAAGAGGCAGGGTAATTGGGTATTTGAAGATGGAGGAAGTGCTGCAGGCAGCCTCTAAGAACTGGGAAAGGCAAAGGGAAGAGATTCTCCTGAGAGCCTCCAGGAAGGAGCTAGCCCGGGGAGGCCCTGGGGCCTCTGAGAGATAATACACGGGTGTTGTTTCACGCCACTACATTTGTGAGGGCAGCAACAGCTCTGACACCTTCCGTGGCCCCGTCACCCAACTCCGTCCCCGCCCTCCTTCTCTCTCCCCAAGGTTCTTATCACTTCTGGTATCTCCATGTGCTCAGACAACAGGACTTCTTTAAACACCAAACCTCAAGCTGGCCAATTTAGAGCAGTGGTTTCTAAAGTAATGAGTAAAGTTCCAAGCTAGGCATCAACCTAAACAACCCATTCACAAGCTGTGAGGGGAGGGCATGGGGCCTGAGCAGTGGAGGCATGATCCCTGTGGTTACTGAGGGGTACAGGACAGACGGGATGGAGGCCACCCCAGGCCTTGGAATCTTGGACCTAAGTTCTAGTCCAAACCAATTAGCTGCGGGACCTCCAGCGCACCCCTCTCCTTCGAGGTCTGTTTCTTCACTCACCAAGCAGGAACCACCGCCTGCCTTGCCTTTCTCCCCCCACAGCCTGAGGATCACAGAAGAACGTGTACACCAAATGTTCTATGACACACTATTTCTCGCCTGTCTGGGAGGGAGAGCAGTGGGGTCAGTAGGCCTGTTTCTATCTACTCTAGGCTCTACCAAAAACCAACTCAGTGTGTGATCTCAAACCTTTTGTTTCCCAGCCCTGGCCTCAGTGTTTTCATCTGTAAATTGAAGGGAATGGGTCACTGAGGGCGCTTCCAGTTCGGAGGTGTATTTTGGGTTCTGCCTGACCCTTTCTGACCCCTCCTGGAACTTTCCGGTACTACACCAACCTGCTTCCCCAGGTCTCTTTTCCTTGATTTGAAAGAAATCACCACCACCCCCTCTTCCACGACCCCACGCCAGCCGCCCTACCCTCGCAGACTGAGGGCACCAGCGTCGGGCTGCGGCTGGAGGTCAAAGAATCGCAGGCCAAAACACAGCCCAGCTGCGTCAGTATTTAGCAAAAGAGGGTGGGCTTCCCAGTCCCTGCTTCCTCCCCCGGCCCTGCTCCAAACAAGAGCAGCACCCACCTCCCGTACTCTGGACCCTGGTCCAGGCTCCCATCACCCAGAGGCTCTCCATTTCTTCCCAGGGCACCCAGGACTCTGCCCTCCTCAACACCCAAAGTGGAAAGAGGAGAGCCTGGGGGTCAGGGGCTGAGTCCCATGAATGAAGAGAAAGAAACACTTTCAACTATTAAATCTGTTTAGTAAAGACAATTCCGATCATACAAAACAACAACAGTTTACAACAATCTGAGTGCTGGACACAGCATCAGAGGAGAGGGAGGTGCTGCTGGCACTAAGCCCCCCCATACTGAGGGAACCCTGGGTGCCCCTACCACCCCGCCCCTGGGGGACATGAAAGCTGGGGGATTACTGCCGTCCCTCCCGCCAGAGGAAGCGGGGGCACTGGCACAGGTTGCCTCTCCCCAGGCTGTTCCCATTAACACTGGGGAGGCGCCCCAGGCTACCCCCCTTGCTGGACTGGACATGATGACACAGAGCTGTTTGTCTGAGCGGGGTGAAGTAGCTCTGGGAAAGGGGGCAGAGTCAGGACATCTTTGGTGAGAAGACTTCCCCCAGCCCACTAAGCCACACAATGGAAACTTAAGGGGACCACAAATGTGGATCAGCCTTTGTCCAAGAGGCACAGCTTGTCCAGGCCCCCAAGCCCAGAAGAGACGCATGAACATAAAAACTTTGTCACCATAAATTGCCCTGGCTCACCCAAGTGAACTGAGAGGCAGCCCACTGAGAAATGGCTAAAAATTTAAGAAAAATCAGCAATGGGCTTATCACAGCAGGAAGTGGGTGCAGAGGTTATCCAGTAGATCAGTGCCTCAGGGGACCCAGGACCATCACTGAATGGGGCAAAGGGGGCCCCGGGGTCCAGTCTTCCCAGTCACTGTGCCAGTGCCTACTCATTCCTCTCCACCACCGGAACCCAGCTAAGAGACCCAGGCCACACGTACAGGGCCTGGCCCCAAACCTAGAGAAGCTTCCCAGGCACTTCTGTGGACCCAACATGGGCGGGGCAGGCCCATGGAGGGAGAAGGTTCTTGAGCCAAAGCAGGGCCCCTTCTGCAGCCCTGCCTGCCCCTGGCCCCTCAAACGCACGGTCCCAGGCACAGATCCAGGCACATGTGCGTGGGCACGCACACGCACACACACACACACACACGCACACACACACACTTTCTCCTATCCGCCTGGCACACTGGTGATGTCTGAGGGCTGCAGGTGGAGGTGGGTGGCATTCTGGCCCCAGCCCTCCACGGCCTTAAGCCCCATATGCCTCAGCCAGCAGGGCCCTCAGGCTGTAGTGGGGAAACAGGGAGGGTAGATGGGACAACACAGGGACACGCCCTCTAATGGTTTCCACAAATACCCTTTAACAAACCCCAAACCCTTGCAGTATCCAGGGACGGGGTCTTGGGGAAAGGAAGACGAGTGGGGGAAAGGACAATAAAAGAGGTTTCATAAAAATTCTAAGTCAAATTACTGATAAAACTGCAAAATGAGCACAGGTTCAAGAGCATCTTGCTCCCTTCTCTCCTCACCCCCTCCAGCCTCCCAGCCTAGGGTCTCCGGGTTGGCCAGAACCATGGCAGGTGACGGCCAGAAGGTCAGAATTCAGCCACTGACAAGATTCTGGGCTCCATGCAGCAGAGGAGGAAGGGAGGCATAAGTGAACAGTTCTGTGTCTCTTCTTTTAAAAAATATATTCATGTAGAGAGTTATTGCTTTTCCTCCAGCGGGGCAGCGGCTCAGTGAGCAAGGGCCGCGGCCTCCAGGGCCCGCGCCTTCTTCCGCCTCTTCAGAAGCAGAGGGTTGGACGCGTCTTCAATCTTTTTTATCTTGATTTGCTCGTAGTCGACACGCATTGTGGCCAAGGCACTGGTCATCTCTTCCTGGGGAGGGGCAGGTACACCCAGAAGGGGACAGAAAGAAAGGCAGAGGACAAGGAGGATCAGAAGAGACATCAGAGACAACAGACAGCAAGGGCAAGATGCGGGCAACAGCCCAAGAGCAGAGAGAGAACACAGACCGACTAGTGGGTCCATGCTGCTGACAGCGGCCTCACCCCCGAGTTGAGCCAACCAAGGACTGGCCACAGCGTTGCCCCAAGTGCCCCTGAGAGCCTCTGCAGGCTCAGCAGGGGATGGCCACGAGATGAGGCAGAAAGAGCACCGGACTAGGAGTCAGGAGACCCAGTTCTGGTCTGTCTCACCCCATCACTAGCTGTGTGACCTTGGACAAATCACTCTCCCTCGCTGGGCCTCAGTTTCCTCATCTGCAAAATGAGGAGTTTGTGCCCGATGATGCTTACAGTCCCTCCCAGAGACCCAGGGAGTAGGGAGCCTGCCGGAAGCAGCCACAGCAGAGTTAGACCAGATGCAGAACCTCTGCCCACAGCCTGGTCAGGGAAGCAGCTCAGAGTCTACTCTTGTTGTAACAAAGATGACCCAGGGTGAGACTGCAGAACCAAGCTCCTCCCCGCCAGCACCACCGGCCAGCACCGGGTACTCCCGGGGGTCCCAGGGGTAAGACTGCAGAACCAAGCTCCACCCTGCCAGCACCACCGGCCAGCACCGGGTACTCCCGGGGGTCCCAGGGGTGAGACTGCAGAACCAAGCTCCTCCCCACAGCACCACCAGCCAGCACCGGGTACTCCCGGAGGTCCCAGGGGTGAGACTGCAGAACCAAGCTCCTCCCCACAGCACCACCAGCCAGCACCGGGTACTCCCGGAGGTCCCAGGGGTGAGAGAGTGCAGAACCAAGCTCCTCCCCACAGCACCACCAGCCAGCACCGGGTACTCCTGGGGAGCTGCCTCCCCCAGCCTCTCTTGGCCAGGGGCCCCCTCACCTTGACATCCTCCCACCGCTCCTTGTCCTCCTTCAGGACCCGGCTGGTGTGCAGTGGGGTTTGAGGGACCTTTGTTGATTGCTGGGGGAGAGAAAAGGGGACTGAGTGAAAGCTGGAGCAGACAGAGTCCTGGCTGAGCCCCTACCCGAGGGCCAGCCCCCCACCCAAGGGCCAAGCCCCCTTGGACCCAGGTCTCCCCAGCCTGCCAGACCTACCATGATCCAGGGGTGGTTCATAAACTCCATGATGGTCATCCTCTGAGTGGGCTCTGTTTTCAGCAGGTTCCGGATGAGCATCTTCACTGTGGGGTGGGTGGGGGAAAGGGACAGAACTCAGCCCAGGAACCACTCCCTGCCCTGCTTCTTCCCAGTTTTCAGGGGGAGGCCAGGTTCAAGGTGCGGGGTTGCATGGAAGCAGACTGTCCAAGGAACTGGCCCCAGGGTCTCGTATAGCTATGCAGTTTGGTAAGCCCTACAAGGCCCCACACCCCAGCCCTGACTCAGGCCCTTCACACAGGCAGGGCAGGTGGAGGCACCTAGCAGGTATGGGCACAGGTGCAGACCCACAGCTTTACCACCCACATGGGATGGCTGCCCACATGCACACGCACACACACGCACACAAACACACGCACGTGGACTCTGCCCCTTGTCTCGAACGCTGGCATCCTACCTTCCTCTGATACTTCTGACCATTCTGGGTTGGGGAATTCATACTGGCCCATTCGGATGCGATTCTTCATGCCCGGAGAGATGGCAAGGCCGTGGTTGGAATAGAAAGGGGGGTACCCACACAGCCTGGGCCCGGAGAGAAGACAGGAAGAGATGGCAGAGTTGGTGTTATTTAGGGGACCTGCACCAGGAATGGGTGAGAAACAGGCTCCTCTCTTCTTGTGAAAGTCACCAAGAAGTAGGGGTTCACTGATTCAGTCAAAATCTACAAAGTCAAGGGCAGGGCCCAGGAATCCAACATTCCAATGATCCAAAGCGCACACTTTCCTGCCCAATAGCTAGTTTACACCCACCACTTAGCTATCAAAATCCATTAGGCATTGAGAAAAAGGGGCATGCAGGGGATTCCCGGGGACTCCCCCACCCAGAAGGGGATGCTGAAATGGCCTTTTCCTCTCCTGGAGAGGTCCAGCCTGCTCCTGCCCTGGCCCCAGCACACTTACAGGATGTACATGATGACACCCAAGGACCACATGTCACAGGACTTGTCATACTTCTCTGGGCCCAGCACTTCTGGAGCTGCAAACGGAAGTCAACATGGTGGGCTGGGCCTGAGGACACTGCAGCCTTCCCCAGGTTCTCTGTGGACTACGTCAGGACACTGCGGCCTTCCCCAGGTTCTCTGTGGACTACGTCAGGACACTGC